GTTATTGTTATTATTATTATTATTATTATTATTATTATTATTAATATTCCACACTGATGGCATCTCAGGACATGACACTGCAGAAGCCTTCAAAATGTCTGGCCATTTTTTCAGGTCTTCTTCCTGGTTGCTGATTCTGAAGTAAGCATATCCATCTCCTCCTACCTCCATCTGACTGGCCAGTGTTTAGGGTTCCATTCAGCTCCCTAGAGCACAAAGTGAATATTATATGCTGGTGATAACAGTGATCACACACTCATAGAGTTCCAAACTAAAGTTTGGGAGGAACTTCTCGTCTGCCATTCTCAACACTGGTGTTTTGCAGGGCTGTGTACTCATCCCACCACAGCACAGCTTTCTGATCTACAGCGACATCGGCCAACACAACAACGATCACATCAAGTTTGCAGATGGCAAAACAGTTGTAGGGCTCATCAGATAAGATGTTCTACAGACAGGTGTGACTGCTTGAGGTCTGGTGTGAGAACAACAATATCCCATATCCAATATAAAAGCAATGCACATCTTAATATTTCTGATTGTAAACACCATCAGTGACCTTTCAAGAACCTTAAACACCCTCCTTAGTGAAAAGTCTCCTTAGTGAATACTTTTCTAAGGGGGTTTGAAAGAGCTGGCATGCAAATTCATATAATCTGATGAAACCTCTGCAGATGTTGTATCTGAAAGTGTTTTGACAGGCATCAGTCACCTGTCATATGGCATGTTCACTTCAAAGTCTTCAGGGAAAGCGGCAGCCATATAGTTGTTATAGGGTTCTGTTTATTATATTATTTTTCTGTTTATTTAAAATGTCAAGTAAATGTGTAAAGTACACATTGGTATTAGAAGTATTTTATCATAATATAATATTCATAATTTATACAGGTGTCAAGTAAAGTGCAACTAGTGTATAAATTCAATGTTGTTTTGCTTTGCTTAGTTTTAATTTATTTTAGTATGTTACTTACATTGTAAGCAATCAGGATTTATATAATACACCATACACTGTTTTATTTAAACAAGTATTGTAGCAGTTAATTATATTAGTAGTAGTTAATTAAAATTTAAAAAAATAAAAAACTTAATTAAGAGCGCAATCACATATCCATATAAAATGAGTGCTTATATAAGCCAGGGACTATTAATCATGATCATTTCATTAAGATAAGATTAAGATACATTGTGTATTGGTTTTAATTTATTTTCTCACATAATATTTGTGAACGTTTCAAAAATACATAGCATGTATTTCAACTGTTCTGGTTCTTTAGTCATTAAGTCAAGTCCATTTTATTTATATAGCACCTTATACAATACAAGTTGATTTAAAGCAGTACAGTAAAAGCCAGTGTGAGCATTAGAGTTGGTAATGATAGAACTTACAGTTTATAGTTTCATCTTTGTGATATCAATGAGTTTGTGGAGGGAAAAACTTCTTTTTTTTTTCATTACCTAAGTTTATTTTAATTTGTTACCTAACAGTGTTTTATATCTTAATGCTTATGCTGATAAGTTTATTTGGAGAGGTCTGTATTTTTGGCTTGCACCATGGGAAATGGACAGTGTTTTTCACCTGTTCAATGTGGCTTTCCCAAACCTTTGAGGTCCCTGATTGGTCAGAGGAAAAATGTCATTTTATATATAAATGGAACATGAGCCTAGTTTATGTTGTAGGTTTTTCTCTGAACCAGGGAAGGATGAAGCTTCTCATCTTGGCTGCACTTTTTGGACTGAGCCTTGCTCAGTTTAACGCAAACACCAGAAATGGAAGAACTGCCATCGTCCACCTGTTTGAGTGGCGCTGGGCTGATATAGCAGCGGAGTGTGAGCGCTACCTTGGACCAGATGGTTTTGGTGGAGTTCAGGTATTTTTAATCACATCATTATAGTTAAGCCTGCAAGGAGTTAATTTGCAGTTTATAATTTTGTGTGCTTTATGAGAAAAAAGTATAATAGTAATAACAAAATATTGATTTCCTATTTCAGATCTCCCCTCCAAGAATATAATTTTTGTATTAATATTATGTAAATAATTTGTAATATATATAGTAATTTAACAACATAATAATATTTAATAATAATGCACGTTATTGTTATTGTTATTATTATTATTATTATTATTATTATTATTATTATTATTATTATTATTATTATTATTATTATTATTATTATTATTATTATTATTATTATTATTATTATTATTATTATTATTAATATTCCACACTGATGGCATCTCAGGACATGACACTGCAGAAGCCTTCAAAATGTCTGGCCATTTTTTCAGGTCTTCTTCCTGGTTGCTGATTCTGAAGTAAGCATATCCATCTCCTCCTACCTCCATCTGACTGGCCAGTGTTTAGGGTTCCATTCAGCTCCCTAGAGCACAAAGTGAATATTATATGCTGGTGATAACAGTGATCACACACTCATAGAGTTCCAAACTAAAGTTTGGGAGGAACTTCTCGTCTGCCATTCTCAACACTGGTGTTTTGCAGGGCTGTGTACTCATCCCACCACAGCACAGCTTTCTGATCTACAGCGACATCGGCCAACACAACAACGATCACATCAAGTTTGCAGATGGCAAAACAGTTGTAGGGCTCATCAGATAAGATGTTCTACAGACAGGTGTGACTGCTTGAGGTCTGGTGTGAGAACAACAATATCCCATATCCAATATAAAAGCAATGCACATCTTAATATTTCTGATTGTAAACACCATCAGTGACCTTTCAAGAACCTTAAACACCCTCCTTAGTGAAAAGTCTCCTTAGTGAATACTTTTCTAAGGGGGTTTGAAAGAGCTGGCATGCAAATTCATATAATCTGATGAAACCTCTGCAGATGTTGTATCTGAAAGTGTTTTGACAGGCATCAGTCACCTGTCATATGGCATGTTCACTTCAAAGTCTTCAGGGAAAGCGGCAGCCATATAGTTGTTATAGGGTTCTGTTTATTATATTATTTTTCTGTTTATTTAAAATGTCAAGTAAATGTGTAAAGTACACATTGGTATTAGAAGTATTTTATCATAATATAATATTCATAATTTATACAGGTGTCAAGTAAAGTGCAACTAGTGTATAAATTCAATGTTGTTTTGCTTTGCTTAGTTTTAATTTATTTTAGTATGTTACTTACATTGTAAGCAATCAGGATTTATATAATACACCATACACTGTTTTATTTAAACAAGTATTGTAGCAGTTAATTATATTAGTAGTAGTTAATTAAAATTTAAAAAAATAAAAAACTTAATTAAGAGCGCAATCACATATCCATATAAAATGAGTGCTTATATAAGCCAGGGACTATTAATCATGATCATTTCATTAAGATAAGATTAAGATACATTGTGTATTGGTTTTAATTTATTTTCTCACATAATATTTGTGAACGTTTCAAAAATACATAGCATGTATTTCAACTGTTCTGGTTCTTTAGTCATTAAGTCAAGTCCATTTTATTTATATAGCACCTTATACAATACAAGTTGATTTAAAGCAGTACAGTAAAAGCCAGTGTGAGCATTAGAGTTGGTAATGATAGAACTTACAGTTTATAGTTTCATCTTTGTGATATCAATGAGTTTGTGGAGGGAAAAACTTCTTTTTTTTTTCATTACCTAAGTTTATTTTAATTTGTTACCTAACAGTGTTTTATATCTTAATGCTTATGCTGATAAGTTTATTTGGAGAGGTCTGTATTTTTGGCTTGCACCATGGGAAATGGACAGTGTTTTTCACCTGTTCAATGTGGCTTTCCCAAACCTTTGAGGTCCCTGATTGGTCAGAGGAAAAATGTCATTTTATATATAAATGGAACATGAGCCTAGTTTATGTTGTAGGTTTTTCTCTGAACCAGGGAAGGATGAAGCTTCTCATCTTGGCTGCACTTAGCCTTGCTCGCCTTGCTCAGTTTAACGCAAACACCAGAAATGGAAGAACTGCCATCGTCCACCTGTTTGGGGCTGATATGGCTGATATAGCAGCGGAGTGTGAGCGCTACCTTGGACCAGATGGTTTTGGTGGAGTTCAGGTATTTTTAATCACATCATTATAGTTAAGCCTGCAAGGAGTTAATTTGCAGTTTATAATTTTGTGTGCTTTATGAGAAAAAAAGTATAATAGTAATAACAAAATATTGATTTCCTATTTCAGATCTCCCCTCCAAGTGAGAGCATTGTTGTCACAAACCCCTGGCACCCTTGGTGGCAGAGATATCATCCAATCGGTTACAATCTGTGTTCCAGATCAGGAAATGAAAATGAGCTGAGAGACATGATCACTAGGTGCAACAATGTTGGGGTAAATATAAATGACAAATAGAGTATAACTAGTTATTTTCCCTGTGTAAAATTAATAGTTTTCTGTTTGTTTTGTAGGTGAACATCTATGTTGATGCAATCATTAACCACATGTGTGGAGCAGGTGGTGGAGCCGGTACCCACTCAAGTTGTGGTTCATATTTTGATGCCAACAAGAAGGACTTCCCCACAGTTCCTTACTCCAACTTGGACTTCAATGACGGCAAATGCAACACTGGCAGTGGAAACATTGAGAACTACCAGGATATCAATCAAGTATGAGATGAAATCATGTCAAAGTGTTCATTTTAACCATTGATTTATTGTGCAATGTGGACTCTTGTTATTTTCTTATTACAAATCTGAGCACTGTAATGATGGCAGGTGAAATCATCTGGTTGGTCTTCTGGACTTGGCTTTGGAGAAGGACTATGTGAGTGGTAAAGTGGCTAGCTTCATGAACAAGCTGATTGACATGGGAGTGGCTGGGTTCATAGTGGACGCCTGCAAACACATGTGGCCCGGTGATCTTTCTGCTGTCTATGGCCGTCTTAATAATCTGAACACAAAGTGGTTTCCATCTGGTGCCAGACCCTTTATCTTTCAAGAGGTATTTCTATTAATTTCCAAAATAAATATATAAAGGTGACAGAATATGTATTAGTCACTTGGGTATGTTATTAGGTTATTGATCTTGGTGGGGAGCCCATTACATCAGGCGAATACACTGGAATTGGAAGGGTGACTGAGTTCAAGTATGGTGCCAAGCTGGGCAATGTCATCCGCAAATGGAACGGAGAAAAACTTTCCTTTGTCAAGTAAGTAAAGTTGTGGATTTGCGTTACTATTAATTATACAACGGTTATTCTGTCATCAAATTTGATTGGTCAAACAGTGTTACAAGCTGATGTACAGTCCAACAGCACTGGGACTTTTCACTGTTTTTATTACTCCACCTGTCTGTTTGCACATTCCAGACAAACTGTTGAATTATATTAGTGGTACAATGTAACGCCATTGTTATGTGGTGTCAAGTAACTGTACGAGTGAGTCACTGAATTAACTGATTTATTCAAAATACGTATTCAACATACATATTCATTCTGGAACAAACAACTCTTTTTATGAGTGAGCAATTGAATAATTCATAATTTGTTTTGAAATACAGATTCATTCAGAAACAAGTTTTATGATTAAGCAATTTAATTATTCACTCACCCCATTTGTTCAAAAAAACGTATTAATCTAGGAACCAAACAAGTGAAAAGTGTTTTTATGAGTAAACAATTGAATCATTCACTCAGCCGATTCGTTTGAAACACTGATTATTTCAGAAATGAAACAAGTGACTGTTTTTATGAGTGAGAAATTGAGTCATTTACCAACTCAGTTTGTTCAGTCCACTAACTCATGCAGGAATGAAGCACCACTGTTGTTGCCCAGAGACAGTTCTACAGTAATTGGAAATATTTACAATAGTGTAACAAAAATAGATTAAGTAAGATGAAGCAGAAGTTACTCCATGCTAACTTCTGAACAATAAAACAGAACAAGAAGCTGATTTTGTGTGTAATATTGCATACATATGTGAACCTTATTGTTCACTTAAACATTTTCCAAGGGTTTTAGCTCTGTTTTGTCACTGTGTTGTATTTATTGTTTCTTGCAACTAAAAAATTACAGATGAACTGCTTTTTGTTTCAGGAACTGGGGTGAGGGTTGGGGCTTCATGTCTTCTGATAAAGCTCTGGTGTTTGTTGACAACCACGATAACCAGAGAGGACATGGGGCAGGAGGTGCATCTATTGTGACATTCTGGGATGCCAGGTGCAAATTCATCTTATTTCAATTTACAGCAAATGCTTGGCAAATGAAAAAAAAAAAAAAACCATTTCCTTTCATCTGAATTCATCCTTCTCTTTCTAGGCTTTACAAAATGGCTGTAGCCTTTATGTTGGCCCACCCGTATGGATTTACCAGAGTAATGTCCAGCTACCGGTGGGACCGCAACATCGTGAATGGACAGGTAGATGATCAAGCTCAGTCAAGTGAGAAAATAAATGCTAATCTGTTTTTTTTGTTTTGTTTTTCTCTTAATAATTGCTCACTTTCTCATTACTCAGGACCAAAATTACTGGCAGTGACCCCCCAGCAATGGTGATGGATCCACTAAACCTGTTCCCATCAACCCTGACTCTACCTGTGGTGATGGCTGGGTTTGTGAGCACAGATGGCGTCAGATCAAATGAGTTCTGTCCTACAGTTTCATTGCAAAAATGCCTTACACTAATAAAAATACAGTTTGGGGTCAATAAGATTTTTATTATTATTATTTACTTATAATTTCAATATTATTTTAAAATATATACTTTTATTCAACAAGGATGCATTAAATTTATCAACAGTGACAGTGAAGACATTAATGTGTCATAAAATGTCATTCTATTTAAAAAAATAAAAATAAAAAATTTAAAAGCAAATATTTACAATTAATCTTTGCCGTCACAAAAATAAATGTGAAGATATATTGAAATAGAAAACATTAATTTTAAATTGAAAGAATAGTTAACAATATTACTGTTTTTACTGTATTTTTGATCAAATAAAAGCAGCCTTGATGCATAAGAGAAATCTGACTCCAAGCTTTTGCACGTCTATGCAGCTGAGAATAAGCATTATAGGGAATGTACAATAAAAACAAACCTTACTCCACAGAAACATGGTGGCCTTCCGTAATGTTGTAAATGGAAAGGCATTCTCTAACTGGTGGGACAATGGAAGCAACCAGATCTCTTTCAGCCGTGAATATCCAAAGTATAGTGAAAACACTATTTAAAAGAAACTAAAGTAAAGAAATAGAAGTAAAGTTTGACGAGACTAGGTGGCGTTTCTCCTCATGGTTTTGGAGGAGCTGGCGTGTAAGCCAGAGCAAGGCCAAAGAGCGCAAAAAAGCATGACTAAAAAGCATAGCTCAAAGCTATGACTAAAACGCCGCATGGCTAAAAGTGATGACTTGAAAGCACATGGCTAAAAGCGAAAAACTAAAAGCTAGACGCAAAAAGCATGCTAAAAGCATGACTAAAAAGCCATGACTAAAACGCAAAAAGGAAGGAGAGAGAAGTGAAAAAAAAAAGATTTGATGGTGTCCTGAGTATTTAAACCGGGTTGTTGGCCACAGCCCAAATGGTGTTTTGACGAATTAGACACATTCTTAGCTCGGGGTGTTGCTATATTTCTCCTCCCAATTCATAAATCAAATGTTATCTCATCAGTCACATGGTC